AACCCCCAACTCTTGCAATGGCAGACGACTGCTCTAACCACTCAGCCACAGCCACCCTGAACTGAACTGAAAAACTGAAAACTTTGAAGACAAATATCAGCACAGCATTGATTACTACTATTTTAAAATTAATATTAACTCACTGTAACTTTGTTAATGTTTTGTTCAATGATAAGGTTGTGAAGTGACACAGTAATTCAACGCTTAATTTCACGCTGTCGGCTTTACTTGGATCATGTTTTCTTCTGTAACCTTTAATTTGCCTGAGAACATTTAAATGGAAAAGAAAAGCATTCAAGCTGAAAAATAAAACAAAACAAAGTGTAACTGTTCTCATGTTTCACTCTTTGCAGCTGTTCTTCCCTTTTCAGTGTTTTTGGTTTAATTTGGTCCCTGAAAAGTTTGGCATTAATTGGCACGGAAAAAAAAGAAAAAAAAAATCTCATCTCGGATGAGAGACGAAACGTTTCTATATTTTTTTGCTTTTTTGTTTTTTGTTTTTTTTTAATGTCCAGAGGACCAGATTTAACTTTTTTGGATTTGGCATTAATTATTTGGTTTAATGAACACAGGTAAACAATCAACCGAGTTATCAAAGAAGCATCAATCCTTCTTATCATCCCTGCTCCTCCTAATCATTAGGCTCTGCAGCAAAACTTGAAGATTGCATCAAATGAAGATGTAACGAAAAAGAATAAAGATTCAAAGTCTGAGAGTCAAACAAAATAAAAGCTGGAGCTGAGCTCAGCATCAAATGTGTGCAAAAATCTACACAGCTGAAATGTAACCAGTTTAGTTTACTCTGTCGGGGTGTATAAAAAGGTTCATTATGTGACAAAAGAACGCAGCACAAATCTCAATTGTGAATAAAATCTATTTCCTTCTCTGTTTTACGTTCTTACATGCAACCTTATTGTTGAAACGTAGCGCCAAGCTGCAGTTTGATTGAGCCCGTTTTGAGGCTTTGCTGTTAATTGTCAAGAATGGTTTGCATCACTAAATTGTCAATTGTATAGCTTTTTGTTGTTGATTACATTAATAAAGAATGATCTAAATGAAAAGGACAGCTGTAATCAACAAAGAAATGGATTTTTTTAAAACGCTGCAATACTGGCATGCACACGGTTTCTATCAGTTTTCATTTATAAAGGGAATTTTTTTTTCATCAAGTTATAATTAAAAGATAACACTGTCAGGGAGTGTGTGCAGGAAGAAGCTGCTCAGTCCATGGCTTACCCACCCTCACTGTTTTGTCACTCTTTTTTTCTCTCCTATTTGTTTTAATATTTTTTTCAGAGTACATTTAAGTTCAAGTCGGAGAGTGATATCCACTTAGCAGACCATCACAAGCAGGTGTTGTATGATGGCAAATTGGCTGGCTCCATTGCCTTCACTTATAACGCCAAGGCCACTGATGCACAGCTTTGCCTGGAGTCTTCACCTCGTGAAAATGCCTCAATTTTTGTGCACTCACCACATGCCCTTATGCTTCAGGTCAGCTTCATTGCTGCAATTTGCACATACTACCTCAGACATTGATGCATTTCTTCATTTATGTTGTGTGTTTTAAAATTACTTCAGTGTTGATATGTTTTATGGTTAACATTTATTTCAAAAGGACATTTTTATGATCCTCACAGGATGTGAAAGCCACAGTTACGCACTCCATCCACAGTGCCATTCACTCCATTGGTGGTATCCAGGTGCTCTTTCCACTCTTTGCTCAGTTGGACCATCATCAATCGAAGGACAGCCAAGTGGAAACTACAGTCTGGTGTGTTTAAATATTGTTACTGCACGATGCACAATCTGACTTGATGCAGAAAACACTTTGATACAAACAGTTGGTGACAGAAAGCTCCGTTTGGAACTGTGAAAGGAATTAGATTTTAATATTTGATCACAAGTCTATTTGTAATTATTTCTGGGTGTCTTTGGGATTGAACAGAGGAAGGAAAAATCAGGAAAATTATCAAAATAAAAAACAAACAAGCATTTCATTTCTCCTGGCTGGGATTAGTTTGATCTACAAAGAAGAACTTCAACAGAAATAGTTTTAAAACAGCATCAAAATCTATTTAGTTTAATTGTATGATGTATATTCTATAAAAATAAAGACTGAAGCATTTATTTTTATTCCAACAAAGTTCAGTCAGTTGATCTGGACAGTTTTTTTTTTTTTTTTTCTTCTTGTTGTTGAAACGTTTCAGCCTTCATCCAAAGGACTTCATCAGTTCGAGGAGCCACAACAAAGTCAATCTCACAAGCAGTACACTCACATAGTGTGCCAACTGGTTTGCTGGTGATAAGATGGTTTCTGGAGCCTGCCCTCTCCCCCGTCAACTCCTCTGAGGCAGCCACAGCCAAAGTGTTTCAAAACATCAAAACTCATGCTCAATAATCCAGGTTAAAAAAATCCAACAAAGTTAATCCAGGTCATCAGGTCATCTTTGATGTTTTGAACCACTATGGCTATGGCTGCCTCAGAGGAGGGAGAAAGGGTGGGATCTATAAACCATCTTATCACCAGAAAACTTTTTTTTCCACTATGGGAGTGTGCTGTGTGGGTCTGAGTTTGCTGTGACTCCTCAGACTGATGAAGTCATTTGGATGAACGACAAAACATTTCAACAACAAAAAAAGAAACTGTCCAGATGACTTGACTGAACTTTGTTGTATTTCTTACCTGGATTATTGAACATGAACTTTGATATTTATTTTTATTGCAGTCAGACTTTATAATGCATTGATATCTTTCTAAACATGGCTTCTCTTAGCCTAACAATATTTTTCTTTAAGCCAAACACATTATTCCAGTGCTTAAATTTCCCTTGTTAATTTTAAATGGTCAAATCAATCCTGCATGGCAGATAATGCTCCAACCTTTCATGACCAAGTGTTGCCTTGATAATTAATGTCATAAAGAGTTTGTTTTCTGTATCTTACGGCAGCGACTGTAAAACTGGAGTCTATATTTCATTACTCACTTGTTCCAACCCCTCTCATATCCAGAGCTGATCTGAACAAAGCTTCCTGGCTGTGTGTTGGGTAGAGTCTGAGCTCTGCTTTAATCCTGTGTTTGTTTAATGACATGGGTGCAGGAGTGGCCACATAGCAGCACAAATCCCTGATGCCCAGAACTCTCTGCCTCAGTATATTCCTCTCATCCCTGCTCTCCATCCTCCTTCTTCCCCTAGCATATTAAAATTTTTAGTAGAGTAAAACTCTTCCCAAAAATGTTGCATTGTCCTTGTTTAAAAATTGAGTCCCTCTGTAAAGCCTGCTGGGCTTTAGAGTTTAAAGCTTTTGCCACAATTAACTCCCTACTTCGCCTGAGGGTTTGCTGTTCTCAACAGAACTTTCAGATAGGGATTTTTTTTTTTTATTCCCTTTAATAAAAATGTTTCTGATGCTTTTCCATGCCAGCACAAATTCAAAGCAGTGGTGAAATGTCAGCCAGGACCGCTCTGCCAAACTGGATAACACCAGAACTTGCAGTAAAGGATCAGGAACCAAACCACAAGCACACAAAGTTGAGTTTCGCCCAGTTTAAGATGTTCTTCTCCTTGTCCATATTAGTAAAGGTGGATTTGAGTAGAAAAAAAAAAGACGAAACTGACACATAACAGATTGGATCAGTATGTATGGAGTGTGTTTGTACATTATAGGGACAAGCCTGGACAGGAGTGATTGTGGTCTTGTTTGTTGGGTTGGAGTGGAATTGACTAGAGGATGTATGGAAAAGCCGATTAAGAAGTGTCACCAAGCACCCTGTCACTCAGCCAAGGGCTTCAGCTGGAAAACCCTGCAACAAAGAAAAATCTTCACTGCACTGCCTTACCCTTTTGAAACACCCCCTGCAACCCCCCCCCCCCCCCACACACACACACACACACACTGCCACAGTTCAACTCAAAGACCACTCTCTGCCCCCTAGAGGTCTTATAAAACTACCCTTTTTTGTTAGAACTGAAGAGAGATGAAAGAGTGAGCGGGGTTCCCAGCTGATTGGTGGCATCTTCTGAAAATGACCTCGTTTTTTAGCAACAATTTCTACTCGTACTGCAGCGGTTAATTTACGTGATTCTGTCAGCGCCTTCACTACAACCTCACCACCTTTGAAAAAAGATAATTCTCTGTATGTCAGTAGATTTATTCTTGTCAGAGACAAATGCTTTACATTTATTTTTTCCACAGTGCCACACTCTTAGCCTTTCTGGTTGAGCTGCTGAAGAGCTCTGTGGCCATGCAGGAGCAGATGCTGGGAGGAAAAGGCTTTCTGGTGATTGGGTACCTGTTAGAGAAGGTATTGTATAGCTTATATTTTATTATGATTGCCTATTCAGGCAGATGGCGTAACTTCTTGTAAAGTTAACATTTCCAGATCAGCACGTGACCCACAAAAGCACTGCCTTTCTACACTTCCGCTATACTGAACTTTCTATGTTTGTTGTAAGCTAACATCCCAGTGCTCTTTCTAGTCCCCCATCTGATCACATTCAGAATTTGGTAAGTTTATAAGTCAACCCTTTTAGTTTCTTATTGAAGTTAGAATAAATTGAAAATTGAGTTTGCTTTCATCAAGTTTGCCACTGAGTAACATCTGCGTTTGAAACTTTTCATTGTTCGGATGGACTGCGTCTTTACTTGTCTCGTCTGTTCTGTCAAAGCCCTGTCAGCAGTCTAATCTTCCACTGCCTGCAGCAAAGTCCTGCATGAGTCTTTGAACTAAACAGAGCTAGAGGAGGTACATATCCCCCCTCTTTGCATCAGTCTTTATTTACCCATTTCATGACGCAGATCTAGCAGCCGGGATCCCCAGAGCGCTGGCTCTTTCATTGCGCTGAGATATGACTCCACTTTGTCACTCGGTGACTTGCCTGCCTGCTGGCTTCTGATGCTGCAGAGCAACAGCCAGCCAGAGTCGGCACCTGAGAGCTGCCGCTTTTTTTGCTTCCTTCCCTCCTGCTGCCAGGTTTCACACTTTCACATATTGCACCATCTGTTCATGATATGTTTATGCCACACCTTTATGTCTTCCTGGGACTTCATTTTTCTTTTTCACTCATTTCCTCAAAGTTCCCACCTGGACTGTGAACAACAGCCAGGCACGAGCTGTACTTGTACTTGTCAAAAGCAGAATTATCTTAATAGTTAAACAACTCACCCACATCCTGTTAAAACATGTTTATTATTCAACAATGTGACAAAAGGGCTGATTTCACTTGATTTTTCTCTTGTGTTGAGAAACCAGTCTGACTGTAATCAATTTTATCAAATAAGTAAAAGAGTAATCATCTTGGGATTATTTTGAGTGAAAAACAAAAAGAAAAATCAAAACATAAATAAATTATTTCTTACAAAACGGATTCCAAAAAAGTTGAGACACTAAACAAATTGTGAATAAAAACTGAATGCAATGACGTGGAGATGGCAAATATCAATATTTTATTCGTAATATAACATAGATGACAGATCAAAAGTTTAATCTGAGTAAATGTAACATTTTATTGGAAAAATATGTTGATTCAAAATTTTACAGTGTCAACAAATCCCAAAAAAGTTGTGACAAGTAGCAATAAATGGCTGGAAAAAGGAAATAAAGCATATAACGAACAGCTGGAAGATCAATTAACACTAATTAGGTCAATTGGCAACATGATTGGGTATAAAAAGAGCTTCTCAGAGTGTCAGTGTCTCTCAGAAGCCAGGATGGTAAGAGGATCACCAATTCCACCATTGTTGCGCAGAAAGATAGTGCAGCAATACCAGAATGGTGTTGCCCAGTGTAAAATAGCAAAGACTTTTAAGTTATCATCATCAACCGTGCATAACATCATCAAAAGATTCAGAGAATCTGGAACAATCGCTGTGCGTAAGGGTCAAGGCCGTAAAACTCTACTGGATGCTCGTGATCTCCGGGCCCTTAAACGTCACTGCACCTCAAACAGGAATGCCACTGTCAAGGAAATAACAGAATGGGCTCAGGAATACTTCCAGAAAGCATTGTCAGTGAACACAATCCACCGTGCCATCTGCCATTGCCAGCTGAAACTCTACAGTGCAAAGAGGAAGCCATTTCTAATCAAGCTCCACAAGCTCAGACGTTTGCACTGGGCCAGGGGTCATTTAAAATGGAGTGTGGTAAAATGGAAGACTGTTCTGTGGTCAGATGAGTCACGATTTGAAGTTCTTTATGGAACACTGGGACGCCATGTCATCCGGACCAGAGAGGACAAGGATAGCCCAAGTTGTTATCAACGCTCCATTCAGAAGCCTGCATCACTGATGGTATGGGGTTGCATGAGTGCTTGTGGTATGGGCAGCTTGCATGTCTGGAAAGGCACCATTAATGCAGAGAACTATGTTCAGGTTCTAGAACAACATATGCTCCCATCTAGACGTCATCTCTTTCAGGGAAGACCCTGCATTTTTCAGCATGATAATGTCAGACCACATTCAGCAGCAATCACAACATCATGGCTACGTAGGAGAAGGATCCAGGTACTGAAATGGCCAGCCTGCAGTCCAGATCTTTCACCTATAGAGAACATTTGGCGCATCATAAAGAGGAAGGTGCGACAAAGAAGGCCCAAGACGATTGAACAGTTAGAGGCCTGTATCAGACATGAATGGGAGACCATTCCTATTTCTAAACTTGAGAAACTGGTCTCCTCTGTCCCCAGATGTCTGTTGAGTGTTGTAAGAAGAAGGGGGGATGCCACACAGTGGTAAAAATGGACTTGTCCCAACTTTTTTGGGATTTGTTGACGCCACGAAATTTGGAAACAACAAATTTTTCCCTTAAACTGATACATTCTCTCAGTTTAAACTTTTGATCTGTGATTTGTGTTCTATTCTGAATAAAATATTAGATGTTGGCACCTCCACATCATTGCATTCAGTTTTTATTCACAATTTGTTTAGTGTCCCAACTTTTTTGGAATCCGGTTTGTAAATTAAGCCATCATTTTTGTTTCAATAATGCATCAAAGCTAAAATAAATAAATAAATAATATGAAGACACTTTAGGAATTTAGTGGCTTGATGTATCTTGATAAGTTGGATTTGTTAGCAATATTATAATCCTTTTGAAATCTATGTGGGTGATAACTATTTTAGGTACATTTGAAAATGATCCACATGTTGTGACACCAATTTTAATTCTGGATGTTATTTTCCACTATAAGGGTTTGTTCTACATTTCGGAGAGATAAAGGAATGCAACAATTGAGAAATCTTCTCAGATGCGAAGTGAAACATTTTCTGTTACAAATAAAGTCCAGTTGTTTTTGTATTGAACATTTTTGAATGCAACAATTTCTAAATAGTCTCAGTGAGTGTTTAACGTGAAAATCTGCCTCTCTTACAGTCTTCACGTGTGCACATCACCAGGGCTGTACTGGAGCAGTTCCTCTCCTTTGCAAAGTATCTTGATGGCCTAACACATGGAGCTCCGCTGCTGAAGCAGCTGTGTGACCACATCCTGTTCAATGCTGCCATTTGGATATACACTCCTGCCAAGGTGAGCTTCAGCAAGTAGCAGTGGCTGAAGAAAACACACACCGTGAGCTTCAAACCCTGCTGTGGAAAGATAAACCCTTGATTTGCACACAAACCAGAGCTTTAGTGAAACAGGCTGTCAAGTAGGCATCCAAGTGCTGTCAAACTGAAGGAGCGTTCATTGACAGAAGGTGATTGTATGGGTAGTAATAAAGCAAAGTGGTAAAATGATTTATCAATGATGGGGATATGAAAAATATTATGATGCTGCTACTTGAAACCAAATTGAATGCTCAGCTCACCTGCTAGTTGACTCACTGCAAAGTATTAAAAGTGATTTTTTTGTTACAATGTCCTCAGTGAACTAAACACAAGGTGCTGCAGCCAGGCTCGAGATATAACTATGTTTTGATTGAAAAGGCACATAAATGTATTCATGTAGTTTTCCAGTATAGAACTATGAACTTGTAAATCACCATGAAATGAGCACTTCAAATTGAGGTGAGTGTAGCTCCGTGATTTATTTTCTAAATGTAACATTAAAAGGTTACAAATATGCTTTGCTTTGCTTTGTTTACTTGCCTGAAATGAAGTCCTTTAACTCACCGGGAGTGTTTTTTTTTTTCTCTTCCCCTTTTTTCCATAATTGCTAATAAAAACGAAATAGGCTCTATCAAAGAAGCTGAGTTTGTGTGGCAAATCTGTTTGTCATTTGTCATTAGGAGGCAAACGATGAATAAATGAGAGGACAAATGGAAAAAAAATACAAAGAAAATGTCTTGAGACTTACTTTCAGCACTCATCTAAAATGAAGGATAGAAAACAAAAAAGGGAAAATTGAGAGAAACAGTTTGGTAATGAAGTGGCTGAGCCCTTTTTACTCCAGTGTGACCGAGCAGCTCAAGCTCCTTTCTCTAGGTGACCACAAAGACCAGATTTCTGTTTCAGTTAGCAGCACAAATTAAAGAGAGTTGTTAGTCAAAGTATATCAGTGCATGACCTATAACCCTCGTCCCAGTGGACAGGCATGATTTTAGGTCGAGTTTTCTCCTCTGTTCTGAAGGGGGTGGGGGGCGCGGCACAATCCAACTTTCATTGTGACTCTCTTGCTTGCTAATTTTAGAAGATAAATTAATCATGAAATTAAATATAACAAGTTAAGTAGGCATCCGGCATAAAAATAATTGCCAAGTCTTCATGCGACTTAGTTTGCTGTGGTGACCCCTAACGCAGGGAGCAGCCGAAAGAAGAAGAAGTTAAGTAGCCATTTTTTAAGGGCGTGAAAGAAAATGTGGACAATAAAGACATAGGTTGACTGTCTTGGTTCTTGTTAAAGGTATAAAGTACGATGCAATAAACTTATTTTATATTCTAAATTATACATAATTGTCCTTTTTAAATTCCTGCATGTGTGTGTGCTTTCTGTTCAGGTCCAGCTGTCCTTATACACGTATCTTTCTGCCGAGTTCATTGGCACAGCAACCATCTACAACACAATCCGTCGGGTTGGCACCGTCCTCCAGCTTATGCACATGCTGAAGTATTACTACTGGGCCATCAACCCTGTAGACAACAGCGGCATCACTCCAAAGGGTCTTGGTGAGCATGTTTAAGATTGTGAATGTTGCTTAGCATATGTCAGGCCTAATTACAATGATTGTTTGCAGTGAAAAGGATTTGCTTTGCGCTGTTGTCTTTTCAACTGTTTTTCATCCATCTAAATGCTAATCAAAGTGAAGCTCTATGTTTTCGAATAGAAATTAGTGGGAGTTAACCAATCACAAGCACTGTGTGAATTTACATGCCTGCTATCTTACTGAAAAGGGCAGCAGCTCCACCATATTTTAAATCACTCATCACCATATGGAAACCCTAGTCTGTCTGCTGTGGGACTGTGACCATCCCTGGAGATGGCAGTGAAGCAGACACGTTGTATCAATATTGTCATCCCGCTAGGGTGCTGCTTGGTGTGGGTGTTGAGTCTATAAAGCTCAGCCCAGTGGAATGACTGGCACACAGTCTGTGAAACAGCACGTCACAGAGCAGTAAAGGAAAGAAAGTGTCCTTGAACTGACATTTCCTTTTAGCTTTCCATTATTCTTTTCAGAAACTACCCACTTTGTAATCCAGGGGTTGTTTTATATTGGTTTTGAGAACCCAGTTTACACCACACCAAGGCCCAATAAAATTCACTTGCTGAAGGTTAAAGCTTGACAGTGTTGATGCAGTACTCCGCACAATCAGAGGTTATTTAATTCAAAATATTTTTATTTTATTTTTTGCTTTGTGGGATTTTTTTATTGGGCAAAATTAACATTTACTAATATTTTGAGCTGACATGTAACCTCATGGGCAACAAATCCCAGGGTACCTTAATGCTTAGATAGACCTTTTTAACAAATGTGTTGACTGCTTCAAAGTTATGTGCTTTATGGCTTAGACTATGCAAAGTTTAAGAAATAAATATATATTTTAAAAAAAATCTTAATTTCATCTTTCAAATATATAAAACTACTTGCAGTGTTGATTGTGAAGGGCTCAGGAACTTTCTGTCATTTGGAAGACATCTCAAAGTGGATCACTTTCTTGCTGTATGTTATTTTCCAGCTGCCTAATTTCATTTATCTTTGCTTGATTTCGCGGGTCACTTTTTCTTTCCGTCCTTCCAAACAGAGGAATGACCTAACAAATGCACAAGAGAAAACGGAGCAAGCCAAGCACATAATGAAGTGCTGAATTATAGGACACCGTGAGGACATTTAAAACCGATTTCCTGCAGCTACTCATTCTTTTTCTGGAAGTGCATCTTGTTTTTTTTCCTGCAGGTCTTAATAGAAAGTGCTATCAAATTAAAGCCATGCATCATTCAGTTATAATGTAGGATTGGTCCCAGCACTCATAGACTGATGATCATTGCTCAGCTTCCCTCAAATGTGACATGCACCCACGATCAGAATATAATCTGTCTCAATTTCTGCCACTCTCATTTTGTCTCAGTCTCTGCCTTTTTTGACTGGATAATTCTTGAGATGGGCTGGAAAGCTTCTGGACCAGACATTAAATTCAGATTGTTTTGTTTCTAATATAAGATATGTATCTATAGTAGTCTCTCGTTTATTGAGGATGTTAGGTTCCAAACCCCCCATGCAATAAGAGAAAATCCATGAAGTATTGACGTTACATTTCTTTTAATATTTATATAAATTAAGGCTTTATAAACCCTTCCCAAACTCTTGCAATGTTTTAAACTCTTAAACCGATGTCCTTTTAACAACATACGTACAGTACTGCATATGTAGCTACTGAATTTTACTTACTAGCGCGTCCTCGCTCAGAGGTCCTCATTGGCCGTTTGAAAGAAATGAAAAACGTGCTGGTGGGCTCCGGATGGACCACTGGACCTTCGCTGTGCGTCCCTGCTCATAGGTCCATGTGGGCAGGCTATCAGCTCTCACCAATGGGTCTGGAGGTCTGGTTCTGCTTCATTTCTGGTCCGGTTCGAGGGTTCCATGCGTCTCTCTGCATCCTCTGGGCACCAAAGTCACTGTAATAAGCGCTAGGGATGGGGCCGATCCGATCTAGTATCGGTATCGGCCTCCAATACCAGCATAGTTTACGTATCAGATTTTTCTGATCCAACCTGCCGATATTTCCGATCCATGATGCATGTTGGCTTCAAACTATGGAATGGATCAGTAATCATGCATAAAGGAAAGCTGCTTAGAAGTCTGATTATTATGTTATATTGAGAATTTACCAAAGCAGAGTAAATTAGCCATTTAATATTTTTATTAAGGTTATTAAAGTTCAACAGTAACTTGAAAGAAGGTCCACCCTTCTGTCGTGATTGGCTCGACCATCACATGGTAACGCCTCTAAGTAAAATAAATTTATTTCTGACAGTGGCTTAGAGCAGTCTGGAAGAAGCTTTTGAAGAAGTAAGGTCAAACAATTGGATATTTCTTTGTCACCAGAAGGAGAAAACGCAGCCCTCCGGGAGCTCATCAACTAACCCCCCTCGGGAGCCAACTTTCAACTCTAGATTTCAGCTGATTTCCAGTGGCAAGGGAAATCCCACCTTCGGCGCCATAATTCATCTCAAGAGTCCTGGTAACCCTCCGGGCGGTTGAATTGCAGACCACCTTCCAATCGGTAGGAAAAAGCTGCTCAGATTTTCTGCTGGTGTCTGAGGCCCAAGATAAGAAGTTGACCAGTCTAAAAATTTCATCATTATTAATTAGAATTAAGTTCTCCTAAATTGACAAATCCCATCTAGCCAAAACACTTCATTTAGCTAACTTTATAGATGATAATTTACTCTGCTTTGTAACCTCATAATTCACCAAATTAAAGTTTAAAAGATAACTCCATAACCTCTTGTTGTGGTCAAAGTAAAGCTATCATTTCATTCTGCAGCAATATTCACTGTTTGATCACTTATATTCACCAAAATTGATAATAAATCTCACAAAATTGTACTTTGACTCAAAGCGTTTTTATTATATATGACATTTTTGAATTTAATACGAAAATAATTCACTAGAACATTAAACTTGAGTCTGATAGAATAATATTAATAATTTTCTGGCTTCATAACCGGAAGCCAGTGGTGCCCCTTCAAAATAAAATTACTCATAAAAATTAAACGATCTGAGGACAGTTAATCCTACAATCGTAATTGATGATCAACTGCTATCAGTTGTTGAAAACGAAGAATTTCACAGCTTGATACTTGCAGCCAAGATATAGTTTACCCTCCAGGAGATATTTATCAGTACAACAGTAGACAATCATAAAAAA